TACATTATAGTCTGTTGAAAGGCATGCGGGAGACGTGTCCCCTCAACGAGCATGGAATCTCTCGATCCGAATACATAGCTGCTCGACCTGAAGATTCTCCCAGATGGCGGCACTTCTTAACCCCTTAAATGGACTCGCCGCATATGTGCGGTCTGGCACCTGCCATCTCTCAATGGACTCACCGCACATATGCGTTCGTGTTCGGAACGAAAGTTCCCAGTTAAGGGGTTAAATTCTCCCTCGGCGTGACTCACTGCCGCCCGCCGCAAGAACCTCATCGAGGCAACTTGCATCCGCGACCTGATCCCTTAGGTCATTACTCAAAGTTCGTGATTATGGTTGAGGGTGGAGAGGCAAGCGCACTTAAATAACCAAGAGTTTTCCATGGAAGTTTCAGACTTGGCAGCCGCAGTCCTCCATCGTTTTCCCAACACTGCGGAAGCCTTGGAGATGCAGCAGTCGATTTTGGTTCGGGAACGCCCGTCGCTCGAAAGCTTGACCCCATGGTGCTTAATATCTCCACCCAATGGGACCCACCTAACATGGAAGGTCCTCCATACCGGTCTTCTTGAGAGGACTATTGTCTGCGTTTTTGGGATGCTCACTGTCAATCCGGCAGCAGTACATTCCGGGTTAAACCGATCGAGCACGCCTTGAGGCTCCTATCGAGACTGGATCAAAAGGACGGCATCATCGAGAAAGTGAAATATCTCCACTTCGATAAGACCGATGCTCTGGCTCTGGCTCTGGCTCTGGCTACGCCTGTAGATCCTATTCTTGTACACGAAGAATGCATACTGCGTCCTTTGCGAAATCAACAATGGCTTCAACGACGACTGCACGAGCTTCATTTTCCAGTCCCTTGGCATAGACCTTACTAGGTATGCCCAGGAGAGTGATTCCGCGGTAATTGGTAAACTTCTTGAAGTCCCTCTTTCTGAAAAATTGGAACCACCACAGCAGTCTGCCGATCCTTTGGTGCCGTCCCTGATTTAAATGTAGTTCGACATACCGTCTGTAACCACAGTCTCCCATCGATGCCCATTTCTTTCAAGATCTCTGCAATCCATGCTAGGAGACTTTCCGTTCAAAGCTTAATCATAGTTGAACTTTCTTCATGGTGGGACTATTCGCGCAGATAAGTTCTGAGTAGGTATATCTGAGTCCGTTGTGGGTTTGTTAAAAAAAACTCCTCATAGTATTCAAACTTCCGAGTATTTTCCTCTTCGGCCGGCAGACCATCCAATTTCAGTCGTTCATGACCTGGAGAGTATGTTTCCTGCCTTGCCGGAGCCTTCGAATGATTCGGCAGAATACCTTGCTAACAGTGCGATAGTCGTGTTCCATTTTTTTTGCCGAATTTCTTCAATGCCACTCGTATCACCTCAGCCACAGCTCGACCAGAAGTTTATTGCTTTTCTCTGTAACACGACCTCGAAGGGTTCGAACTACTGGGCATATTCGCTGCCTTCGTGGAAGCAACAGTCAGCTGTTCCGCTGGTTTCCGCACGTGAGTCTGTTCCGTGTCATCACGTGCCACTCTGATTCACTTTTCAACCCATACTTTCACTGCTGCAGTCGAAACTTCGTAGCGATATGAATCCTATTCGGTCTCTTTATCAGATATCTGATGATACAGTTGGAAATAATTTCTCTAATCACCCTAGCCAATTCGTCGCGAGTTTTCTTTTCGAGGGAGACTTCCCCCCTCATCTTTTCGCTACAGGAGTGATTTCAGCACCGTTTGTCTGTTTATGTACCCAAGCAGCATATTAACGTAAACAATATATCAATTTTTTGCTAATAATGTAAGTTCATGCGATTGTCATTAAAATGACATCACATTTACATAAAATTTACGTTTCTATATTTGTATGAACTACTACAAAGTGTATGAATTACTATAGACATGACTTCATCTGACGTGAAATACATATCAAATTTATGCAAAATCAACGCCACACCATCCATATTACTTTAGCTGACTATCCTGCAGTTGCAGTACCAAGAGTCTTCACTAGATGGACTCCATGTTCCCTGCACCATACAAATGCTATCAAGTACCTGCTTTCCTGATATAGTATTAGGTTTTCCTATCACGCTTCCACTTTTTATTTTGCAATTCATAAATATATATCTGGAAGGCATGGAATTATTATACTTTTTTATTACAATACATTAACTTGGGAATAATTAAATTTTTGAAAATAAATTTTAGATTACAGCAGTGCGGGGGAGTAGCGAAGAGTAGAATGCCCACTTCCAGGAATACCATACCTTCTCTATCCTCTATGGAAGAGAGTCCCTCTAAATTTCTACTTCTACGCCTAGGGTTTTGCGTTGGGTGCGGAAGGACGGAGCAGTTGGTATTGTGATACTTTTGAGTACTAGTGGGGATGAGTACTTGCGTACTCGTCCGAGAACCCTATAGTTTGAAGGAGTGTAAAGGAGCAGAAGTAAAGTGATATTAATTCCCTTCAAAAGTGGTAATTTTCTCATAAAATTCGCATTAACGTTTGGGGGAAATTAACATCAATTTTACGTAATATTAATGTAAACATGCTGTTTGGGATTTAAACGAAAATTTCAATTTTACCTAAAATTTATATGAATTTTACATCACCGTTTGCGCACCACAGACCTGATATATCTGCAAACATGTTGACTATCTTGATGACGTTTTGCGTAAAAAAGATATAGAAAAGATGGTAGTTTCCGAACCATATATGGGTAGTCAGGGCTCAGTTTGACCCTGCGCTTTACCTTAGTACCTACTTCTAGGCTCTACTCGTCCTACGCAACGATTACAGTTGATCGGCAATTGCTGAAATTCAGTATCAATCCGATTGTCAACTCAAGTAACAGTATGTTGATGAAACGTTTCTGTAATTTTCCCTATGTTGCTCTACGTTCCAAGTTGATGTAGAACGTTGATAACATATTGATTCTGTTTTCACTCGAAATGTCGCTGCGAGACTTCTACGAATGTTATTACATTTGCTATCAACATTGAGAGAATGTTGACTCTCTTGATATCGACAACGTAGCGACAGCATTCCGATACAACACGGACTTGAAAGTTTTAGGGAATTGTACATTTTTCCTCCTTGCCACGAGATGGAGGCGTAGGTCTCGCTTTTCTCACAGTACACAAAAGTGCCCTTCTCCCTTTCACTGGAATCGTTCCGCACAGGAATGTTTAGTACCTTGCCATGTTGTCTCATTATAGGAATCAATGAACACAGACTCTACATCACTTGTTATCTTCATATTCGAGACAGATTCAAATGGTCAAGATAAAAAAATGCTCATGTTCCCAAAATAACCCTTTCCAGGAACCCTTTCCAAGAAGAGTGACCCATTCGTCCCAATCGCTTATAATTAAAGCGGAAATACAAAAAATCAAACAAAGTAATAATTTGGTAATAAGTTTAGAAATATTCGTTGATTATTAAAAGTACGAAATACAGCCATCTCGAAAAATATTGTTTCCTTAGTAATCCATTACGTCAGTGTGAGCTGCATCATGCGTAACATAAAGTTCTACGAGACGCCACGTTCGCTTGAATGCTCATTTCAACATTGCAGGGGTAATCATTGCAACTCGTTGCAAATGGTTGCACTCAATTCTTGAACATTATGCAGACGCACCTTGCTCACTTGCTCCTTTACAAATGAACAAAGCCAATTGTCGCACGTCGTCAAATCGGGGCTACGGGCGGGCCAAGGTATGGGACCCGAAAAATTATTGCCTGATATCCGAAAAAGTCAAACCCGTATTTCTTCTTTCATGGACTCAAACACTTGCAACCAAACGTTCTTCAATCGTGAATGAACTTGTATCCGTCCCTATGTTCACTTGACTCACCGATATTTCATAGGGGTGAGGAGGACAGTACCTGGAACCGTATGCGCATTGAAACCATCCATTTCAACGTCTTAGCGGATTTAGTGAAAACTGTTATCATAACCAATTGGGATTTATGGGCCACCCTGTAGAAATATCAATGAACATGGTCTTTTTTGTGGACATTAAAAAAGCCTTTTGACCAAAACAGTCATTCTTATGCAAACAGACACTTGAAATATTTCGGCATGGACCACTCAATTCGGCATTGGGTGAAGGCACTCTATAGCGACCCCTAGGCCTTCACACTTTATAACGGTTATCTTTCCCATGGTTTTTCTATCAAGCGAGGCGTTATGCAAGGCTGTCCTTTGAGCCCTTATTTATTTACATTAGCTGCTGAACCATCGGCGAATGCTATCCGAAGCTACCACGGTATCATAGGAATTTTTGAAAATGAACTCAAACTGTCACAAATAGACCGACGTCTCTACTATCCTTTTCGATGGATCCGAAAGGTCACTGCTGGCAACAGTCGACCTGTTGGAAAATTCCGTACTCCATCCGGACTAAAGGTCAACTTTGAAAAAAGTGAACTAATGTGGATTGGACTCTCGACAATTTAGATCATGTAACACTTCGTTGGATCAAAGGCCCAGTTTCAACGTTAGGCATAAGCATAGCCCCTGACATTTCTTCGGAACAGCTTACCGCTTGAAATAAATCCATCAAGTCCGCAGTCTCTTCAATCTACGGTCGATGAGAGATCTTACTCTTTTGGTCGCGTATCTATAGCAAAGTCATTGGCTTCGTCTTAATTTAATTACCTAGCGAATAACCTTCCCTCTCCTGCTCCAGAATGCTATTCTGTAGAAACACACAAATTCTGATGAGCAGCTTCATTGCAGTAAAATGGCTTAAAATAATCAAAGACACTGTATTATATAGACCCTACGTCAAGGGAGGAAATAGATTACCCCATTGCTATACACTCTTTGTCACCATTATACGAGTATATCAATATGTGCTTGGGTGAATAGGCTGCTATCCCTGACCTGTTCTCACCGCTAAGGAGGGCTTATGCAAGATATCCAGACATTGATCCCAAAAATCTCCCTAATATATTCGCTGAAAATTGTCACGCGACTGACCAATGGGTGTTGAAATTGTCATCTGCTTTTTGAGGGACATTCTCATATCTTCAGTAGACTTGAACTTTAATGTTCCTCATAATGTTAAGGATATCTTAAAGCAATCACTATTTTCTAATTATCACAATTTAATTATCACACACCCGTAGGGGAATCTTGGAAAGACCCCAAAAACTTTGCTTGACCTCAATAGGGCCCTGGGAATTTTCGAGCGATCCATCCCACCAGAGACATGTTTTCAGTAATCGAGAACTCCTCTCTGCGAATAAACCAATGTCTTAACCGTCGCGACAACCACATTGAGCATGTCATCAGGTGGTTAAAAAAAAAACAATATGCTGAAAATAAACTGTTGAATGTACTCTTTCACTCTGTGTATGAATAAACTTTGCGATATAACTTATTTGGTAGTTTTTACAAGTTGAAAATAACATTTTCTTCACGCACTCCGTACTCCATTTGGAGCTTTTTGCTATTATCCTTCGCATTATTACTCACGTATGACTTAAAATATTATTACAGCCATTCAAACAGATGCAAAGGATCAACGTTGGAACCTCGCAACGACAAACTATCCTGAGAAGATAGTTTATCTTGGCCTCGGTAACCACAGCTTGAATGTGATGGTGGGAGACACATGGGGAGCATTCACCATTTTTCACCTCGGAAACTTTACTGTAAGTGCATCCTCTTGTTGCATCTCTTTGGTTACTATTCTGGAGAATTATCATGAGATGTTTGCGTTTAGTTTTACCTCGTAATCTCCTGAGTAAGGGATTAGCTTTGAAGTCCGACTGTATATTGGAAAGGAGGGTTTCGGTATTCATTTCCTTCGTTTGCACTGGTGCAGTACGGAGCTGGCGCATGGTGTGGAAGGAGTCCTTCTTGGTCAAATTAATATCACCCCGACGATCGATGCCACTCGATGGCGGGAAGTCGTACCACTGGAGTGGTAGTCTCAGATAATATATTATGAAGTATCCTGAACTCAAAGAAAATAGCGGGACGATGAATTTCATTTATATACCTAACTTCTACTCCATAAGATCTTTTGATGTGAAGTGTCCTCGCACAAAAAATATGGGTTAAAAGAGCTAATGACCAAGTACTACAATTGGTCAATGCTCTTCAAAGTTGATGCTGATTACTTCAGCCTATCTGCCTCTTCACATCATCCTAATAATTTTGATCCAAGTACTCGTATATCCTTAAAAGTGATGAATTCGAAGTTCACCTGGTACACAGCAGACATAGGATGAAGTTATGCATCACTGGCATGGTCATTAGACTAGTAACATTATGCCATTGCCTGTCAGGGGAATACGACGAACCCTTTAAGCCTGCTGTGTGGAGACAGTGACCATGAAAGCGCATTCTTCGCAGGTCAGGCCTGCAGAATATTCCGATCTCATAAAGCACCTGTAAAAGCATCATACTGATAAGCGCACGAATAAAAGCCTCTGCGTTGATTCATGTCTCTATTTGCGGAATGCACATCGTACGCCTTTGCAGAAGCAAATTTCCTTGGAATTAAAAATCCAGCTCATGTTAGACCGTGTATTCTCTTTGCCTCAGAACTAATTCTCTTTCCATATATTACATATTTAGATCCTACGTGCTTAATCCGTCGAGCCTTTGTTTCAAGCAAAAATGCAATCCTACTCGGACTGACTTTCTTTGTTCATTTGCAGGTGGAAATGCCAGCGAAAGATGAATTTGATGGAAGTGAGCAATTGCTTAATAAGTTAAATGGAGAAGGTGACGTTGATCAAATGAACATGTTATCTCAAGCCCGAGCGTCTGTCATGCAAGGAGCTCCATGGCTCAGCCTTGATTCTCAGGCATTGGCTAATCTTCCTGCAAACGAAACCGAGTCTCGTATATTGTCCGTGCAGAGTGTGAGTTGTGATTGTGCATGACGGGATGCAGTGTAATCAAGTAAATTGCCGTGTCATAGGACACCAGATAAATAATTAATATACTGTCTGTTTTACTGTATTGTGCCCAGCTTTACACATCCACATTGAAGATAATGGCTGAGCAAGCAACTCCGGTGACGTACGGACAAATCCTGAATACCCTCAGCCTCCTTACCCGAGCTACAGCGGGAATCCAAATGAATGATACCAGCGCAATAACATTAGGACTAGAAGGAAGAGAAGCTGCGAAGACTCTTATCGACGTTAGTCTTCCAGATCTTCTTCGTCAAAAGTATTGTCTGCACTTTTATTACCCTTGAAGGAGGCCTCCTTCAATGGGCATGTTTTTGCTCTTCTGCAGCATGTTCATTAAAATGCTTTTCCAAAATCGATATTTAACGATCACGAACTTAACACGAATTCCTGGTTCTTTCCACATGCATGTAGTCTGCAGTAACTCGAGAATAACCATATTGCATTTGCACAATGTGGTTGGGGAGCCCAAAATGTTTTGAAAGTAATGGCTGAAAGAAATAGTTTTACAGGACTAAGTAAATACTTTTCAGGTGCAATCTTCTTCCATACGCTCCAATCGCAACCAAGCAGCCAATCGAGATTTTTAACCCTCTCCGTGGTGTTGTCTTCATTTGGAGACATTTTCAATTGTTCATGGCGTGTAATTGTGCGTTCAGCAACTATTTTTGGTTAGACTTAGACAATCAAGTTTTTGCTAGAGTGCAGTGTTACTAAGATTCTTTCACTTATTAACGTTTCTCAAATACTTTTATTATGAATTACGAACTTTGCGTATTTGAATAATAAATTGCAGTTTATACATCCTATACACATTCATTTCACACATTGACTGTCCATCCCAATATGCTCAATCCAAACTCTGAGAATCTCCTGAATGGGGCTTGCCAGATGTCCACGCCTAATATCGTATCAACCTCCTCAAGCCACAGAGTTTAAGTGCTAAGGGATACTGAATGGATCGCTCGTCCAATTAACACTTTGCGTACCACTCACGGAGATCTCAGATTTTCGATACGCTTGCGAGTCCTTTTGCCTAGCCTAAGGCCGAAAAAGTCATAGCCTCGTAGCCTTCGAGATTTAGACTAAGGTAACTCAGGCTTGGGCCAGAGCGGCGGATCCACGGGGTAAAATGTCCAGTACGCAATGTGCTAACTGGACATGGGCTTCTTGGTGCGGCCATTGATTACTAGTTAACTGGAAATGGGCAGTCAACGTGATGATGGTTTCTTTGTTCTTATATCAAATGGAAGGAGAAACATTGGCGTCTTTTTTCGTAGACATTACCAAACTGCTTCCTTTTTTATTATTTCCCCTTCTGCTGGTCTGCGAGTAGTTTTGTCCCGAAGACGCCCGCTTCGAAGATATTTCGAGAGAAATTTTCATTTAGCTCATTTCAGAGGAAACTGAAAAATACTGCATATGTCAGGCGCTCGAAGTTTTCACGGAATGGTGATCGAGTGTTTCATGGAGCGAATTTCCTAATGGGATCAGGAAATGCCACCCAGTATCCTCTTACTTGGTAAGAGAAACACAGAATGCGATTGCCTGTCGTAGTTGATCGACTGATATTAAAATCTTATGAACAGTCACCTAGATATCTTCTTACCATTGATAACGTTCTCCAGCTGGCAGCTTGACTTAGCGAATTTCGAGTGGCTTCATAAATTGCAACCCGTCATTGATGAGCCTCAGAAGTCATTAAAGTCTTGTCAAAGGAGAATATTTGAATTGAATGAATTTTGACTTCATTCATTGACTCATGAATCAGTGAAAAATTGTATGGTCAAGAAACTGATGAATGGGGTTACATGGTGTGAGTTTGAATTGAGACATCTGATTGTGTTAATCTCTACTTTGACTTTAAGGGGAAATGTGAATGACAATAAGTTGAAAGTTGAGGTCGGATGTTCAGTTGGTTTGAATTCTGCTCAGGAATGGACTTTGCCAAGCCCCCCCCCCCCCAAAAAAAAAAAATTATAATAATTTGACAATTTCTTCTGGAGTTGGAAATTTCTTAAATATATGACAAAGAGGGAAAGCATAGTGGCAGGAGCTGTAAGAAGGAAAGTGACAGGTAGACCGCCTCGGAAGACGAGCAGAGACATCAGAAATAATGAATTCGCCAATTGAAGTGTTGTAGGGGTTCGTGTGTAATAGGCATCACATTTTAGGATGAGAAAGATATCTATTTTCGAACTGAGCTGAGATCCAGCAAGAGAATTCATTTGCTGGAACAAATGACGAAAAGAGAGGGTCTCGTTCGCATCTCAGCATTCTGGGAGTACAATTAGAGAGAGGAGTGTTGATGAAATGGAAATGTTGACACACCTTGATGAAAAAGAGACCACAAATCCAAATTTCGTGCTCCACATTACCTGGTGCATAAATTGTGCTGTTTTCACCAATTCTCTACCGAAGAATGACGAACCCAGCGGGAAACAGATTTACGATGCAAAATCCGATTGGATTCAGATCAATTGAAGTAACAGCCTTCTGATGTCTCTTTAGGAAGACCAAGTGCACTGGGGGTAGCCATTTCCGGTACACGTAGTTGAAAGCAGAAAAAAATTATAGTTAGAATATGGAAATCCCGCTCAGAACGAGGAAATAAAGGTCCAATAACTCAAATTGTCAGAGATCTTCAAAGCAGACACTTTCAAATTGTCCAAACAAGGCTAATATTTCCTCTCATAATTCAAATTCTCTCCTCCTCTACCGAAAAGTAAGATTTCTCTCATTGGGCGCAAAAGTTGCCTATGCTTGGCAATGTTGAAGACATGCTTATATTTTATATTAAAAAATTGACAAATTCCTAAAAGTAACGTATCGTCAGCATATCAAGACATCGAAATAAAGTAAGTGATAGTTACATTTTTATCGTGCTATTCCTTAATTTGCCATAGAGAGGGATGAGGAGCAGGGCGTTATAACCTACGTCCTCGTACTAGAATTCTGGACATGGTCAACAAATAGAGGAACATTAGGAAAGTGTTAGTGGTTCTCTTGCCCCACCCCTCCCCCCTTCCGCGAAATCCGTGCAGGAGGTACTCGTATCAACTACTAAGTCGCTTGGAATATGAAGTGCAATTTCAAAATCGAGACCCTGAGAGTCTTAAACTGTAGCATAAGCTTCGACTCAGACGGATGAACACATCTGGCATAGCGGCTCCGGGACTGACAGGAATATGGGGATGACCAAGGAATGCTTGAGTTGTTCTGAAGAAAGAAATATTGGGATTCTTGTCATTTACATGAGATTTGTGTACAGAAAGTAAGAATATCCCAATAAGTTATTGTTACGTTTCGCTACAAGCCCTTGAGAAGTATGACCAGTAATGGGAGACTATGATTGTAAAAAAATCCCAATACACATATTTACATATTGCATACAATGACTATTTCTCAAATTACTCCTACAATATTGGTGCCAGAAACGTGAATTTCGCATGGACACTCTGAAATGACATGCCTGTAATGCGTTTGAGCGGTTATGATTATTTTTTATGATTGAATCAGGGAGCTAAGAGTAACTGCCATCAAATTTTCGAATATAATTACAGAAATTTCGATAATTCATTCTCTTTCAAATTCGTATGCAAAAAATGGTAAAATTGACGTTTTTACTCCCAACAATCTGTAGCTGTATGTTTTATCATGGAGTCCTATGAATTTGAAAAATGGGTGATTTCTTAAGCTGTGGCTTGGGAAATGTCAGATGTACTTGCAATAATATTTTAGTTTTTGAGAATATCTCAGAAGCCACCAGAGTTTGATCTAAAAATTACTTCTGGCGAAAAGACCTTTGGAATACAAGCATTTCAATGGTACCAACAACTTTTACTTTCTGTAAAGCATATCAAATTTTTATTTTTTGGTCATAGTCACCCTTGATCATTAAATACCAGCTCAGGAAATGTGGAGTCCTTGAAGGAGCATGTCCTCGATTGTTGAAGAAAAACTACTTGCATTCTCACGATGAAGCGGCTTAAAATTTTTCAATAATCAGCAATTTTGGCCGGAATCTCGCCAATGTCGAATAGCCGTCATCACAAACAGTAATGCGTTTCGCAATTCAAATGGTTTGATCCAAGTTGAAATTCAGATACCAGCATGAGAAACTTTCTGTTCTTTGGTCTTAGATCGAATTTCTTTTGTGCATGAACGTGTGGGATGTATCACCAAAATCCTCTCTATCCCATGTATTGAGCATGAGCACATATTGCAGATACAATGATAGTATTTAAGGATTCAGATGTGTTTTATGTTCATTGCAGAGTATCAATAAGAATCTGGACGGCATTGAGTTCCCAACTCAAGAAATGGGAATGTTAGTCCTGAAAAACCTCCTCGCAGCTGGCCCAAATCTGATGGGGGTAACCGTGCCGTTTCTCGAAAGAAGTTGCACATTTTTAGGATTAAGTCAAATTTCGTCTTCTGGTAACTTGCAGGGAGTTCAGGGACAATTGGAGAGTGGAAACTGCGACGTGGAGGGGAATGTGGACAAGTCCCTTTGCTCTCCCATAGACAAGAAACAGAGCTCCCTCGACTACGCCTTCCCACCACCCAGTAAGGATGTTTTGGAATACTTTCCTTGCCTATTTCATTATTGCTTGTTCTCTACTCATGCTCCTCCAGGCAGTGAAAATATTCACTTAATCATGGCAGGTCCGTTTATAACTATAGAATTGACTCTTTTGGCGAGACAAGCAGGCGAAAAGGAGAGAAAAAAGCAATGGGAACATTGACTTATGCCAGTTATTCATTTTATCTTGATAGATTAATTCAAGAAATATTTTTTCTCATTCCGTGCATCGCCAGGTTGATCTATACTCTTTTGAAAAGAGTGAGAGGTTTCCCTCGAAGGGGCAAAACTGGAGTTATCGATTTAATTCCCTAAAAACTGGAAGTACAATAATATTATACAATCTACATAATCACTAACTGCTCTCCTATCTGAGCAGAATCAAAAACTTTTTTAAGAGCACGAAACTAAGGAGGGAGAATACTTTTCAAACTATAAAACGTTAGTGGCTATTATCAGGGAAGAGAGAGGTGAGCGACATAACTTCCTCGATTTAGGGAGTAAAATTGTTAACTCCAGTATTGCTCCCTTTGAGAAAAATCGTTCACTCTTTTCTCGGAGTGTAGAATATATATAACGGGTGGTTCAACTTTTTTTTTTTCAACTTCACATGACTACAGAGGGAAAATCATTCAATTCATATGCAGGACATCTACGGGATGTCCCATTTCAAACGCGTAGGCGATTTTGCGAAAATACAGGGTAGGCCAAAAGTAATGAAGCCCTCATTTTTGGTGAGTTGCCAATCTGAATGTAGGCTGTCGATTCTGCTGAAACTTCGAATTTGGTAGGCGTATTGGGTGATATAATTGATGATTGTATGCCAAATATCAGCGTTCTGACTAATAAATTATAGAAGCTGTAATTATTTTCTGATGAAAACTCACTACAAATTGTGCTCTCTGAAATATCCATATGAACCTTCGGCATGTATTCATGGCATGCATGATCGCCCGCCACAATAAGCTAAGATAGTTTATTAGCTAGGCTAGGCTAAGGCCATCCTATTCGCAATAAATGCGGTTTTTGCGCCTGGGCTAGTTCGTTGAATATTAGGCGGGATTTCAAAATTTCTAGCAAGTTAACATTTTTCTTTCCTTGTGTTTTAGGGGAAAGTGCATTGTGAAAAATGACAAACTTCAGTGACGACGGTCTTTCTATTATTAAAAACTTGCTAATTCAATAAGGATATGGTGCAAGGAAATGAAGATTGAATTTGTGAACAAAATTCGATCAAGGAGTGTTCTTAAAAATGTCACCCGCAAATTTGATAAATCTAGAGACGAAATTTAAGGTTTACATTTATAAAACTTACTTTTATGGTTTGATGTAAATTAAATGCCATTCCCACGGATTTTGGAAATTTGATTTTAAACTCGGCACACCAACCGAAATCCAGCCACCCTATAAGTCTACCAAATTTTTTATTAATCGACAGCTTACAATAGGATCGACAACTTACGAAAAATGGGAGCTTCTTATTTACCCACCCAATTATGTATTTGATCTCTTAGAATCCAAGCGTAAAATCGTTAACTCGCATTCTGATGAGTTGATATTTCGTTCATCACGAAGTTCAATGCTTGGACCCCTGGGAAATCCCGTAGGTCACCTACGGGAATATTGTGTTTAACTGAAATTCGCTTATCAGGAATTTCCGGATCTTTCAAACAAATTTTTCAATTCCGATTACGATTTTCTCATGCTTAACTCAAAGTTAACTAGAATTCGAGGCGTGAATGAGTAAATAAATTATTTTTATTGGATTTCCTAATTTTTTAAATAGGGTGAATGCGATGACTCAATGCCTCAGTGGCTCAGTCACTGTGGCATTCCTCATCGATAATTAAAGATATCAAAGATCGCTCACATGAGAGTTAGCCCTGGAGTGGGAGTGATGGAGAGCAGGATGCGACATACAATGCTCTACAGCCTTCTTAGACGGATGCCAAGGAAGCACTTTTGGTTGTGAGAAAATTCCTCCGTAACGAGGGGAAGTACCAGTCGGCGGGTTCGAGGCGATTGGCAAACTGGAAGACCCATGCAGGCCTCTTACGTGCTGAAAGACAGGAGAACCCTTAGAAAGCACATTCACAGTATACTTATTGGACTTTTTACCCAATAAGTATCGCCTCCAGGTCCTAAGCTTTAGATTGACACCTCATTCATGAAAATTCGTTCATCCGTCCAGGAGGAGTTTACCGGAATGACAGAATGACAGACAGATTAGCCTTCTATGTATATGGATGGTTCATGAGAATTGACTACTTTAAATTTTAGGTTACGTATATACAATAAAGCTGAAATATACGAATCGAAGGGAATTTTCTCCCCATTCAAAGCCGTCACAATCGTATAGTACATGCTTTTCACCCCTGACTTGAACGTGTTAAAAGGAAACATATTGTATTTTGCTCTTCTATCTCCTAGATAAACTGTGGATCCAGAGTGAAGACATGGATATGGCACGTTGTTGCTACATTTTGGATAAAGCTCAACAGGAGAGCTCTGGGCTCGGAAGCTCTATCGCCAACGTAATTGATAAAGCAACTTCAAAAATGCTGAAGGCCATGGCTGTTGGAGAGACCTTCAACATGGAAGTGAAGAACGGCGTTCATTTGAAATTGATGAAGTGAGTTACCAAAATTCCAAGTGTTCTTCGGTGATTCAGATCTTTTGATATTCAGCCTCGCCCAATAACCTCCGATGCTCGCAGAGATTATGGTGCTGCACTCCACAAGAGTGCCATAGCATTTGGCTCTGGATCTTCCCTTTTGTTTCGGGCCTGCCCAGTAGACAACTGTGATCAAATCTTGGGCTTGGTTATGCTGGAAACACCACAAAATATGCGGGTGAGTCATTAGTTTGAATCTAAGAATCATATTTGTGCACCATGGACGCAGGAAACACAAATGGGGTGATATTAATAATCGAGTATTCTTATAGGCAGCTAACGACGACGAAGAGATGAGTTACTTGTTTGAAATATGGTTATTTTCACGATTCGCCTTCATGGATATTAGTCAATTGACATTTAAAAAAAACTATAATAATTAGAGATCAGTAGAAGCCTGCTCTAATCGTCGACCAAAATGAATCACATCGACCGTTTGGTGTAAAGAGATTACAGCCTCCTTATAGGCTCTTCCTCGGTGATGAAGACTAAAGTAAGATTAAAGAGAACATTTTCTGTGTCATTATGCACGTTGAACCCATAAGACCTAATATTTTGTTTTAGGCCAGAAGCTCCAATGTGATGGGAAGAATTCAAACTGATGAATTTTATTGCACGTGCAACAATTTAAAAAACCGCAGAGATTATTCGGCAACAAAATTTCCAGATCAAACTGCAGGCCTACAGCAATGTGAACAATAATCATTTCTCTGGGAAATAAACAGCATCCATGATGATTGATTTGAGATAATCAACTAAAACACAGCGACCGTTTTGAACAGGGTGACAGAAACTTTCATTCAAAATATGACAAAATAAGACATACAGGATATGGCAAAAAAATACCAACGACTTTCAACCGAAATATCTTCCCTCCCAAAAGAGTTATTTTCGCAAAATTTTAACATCGCACATATGACAATATTTCCAATTGATAACGCAAATTTCACCAAAATATGTACTGCCGAAGCAATTCTATCATCAATTATTGAAAAGTATTAATATTTAGACATTGAAAATGGACATGAGCTCCTACTGGTAGTGCCTATCTTCCTGCTTTGCTACCTTCTGGGGACAGGGCTTGAGTGTGTCCTCCACTCCACTACAAAAGTACCCCACTACCACTACCACTAGGAAAGCCAAAGTTTGTCTCATGATTATCAAAAGCTGAGGAAATTTTTTGCCGATTTTGTAGTGCGAAGTAGATCCATCTGTGAAGATAGGAGCCGTTCCGGTCGACAAGAGCGTCCTCTGTCGGCATATCTGCGCCATGTTGCAATGCTTGAAAAAACCTCTTAGAATCATGAATCTCTCTGCGAAATATCATCTGCATCCAGCTATCCCCTGAAAAGTTATGGTCAATCAAAATATGGCGATGACATAATAACCGTTTAGCTAGGAAGTTAGTACCTGGCGGTTTGGAGCCATGTTGCGCCCCCCTGACCATATTAACACTATCCTCAGTCTTCACTTGAAGTGCAGACCTGCATTTTTTGCATGTTGGCTATTCTCGAAATTATCCGACCATTTACCTCGTTTAATTGAATTCTGAGGTGGTCAGAACGGATCATTACCTCGCTTAAGGTGGATGATCCACCTATAAACACTTTAAATTCAACTCTAAATGAGCATTGCACGACTTAGGTAGGGGTTGTGAAAAAAACCTGACGTGCATCTCAACACCTTGTAACTGTCCAATGTCGATCGCATAGTCAATGTATCTTTTTGTGTATTCATGAAAATGCTTCTCCCATTGAAAACGGTAGAGCATTTTTTAAAATGACATGATATATTTCAGTTTCAAGGGTCAGGATAGTCACTGTCGTTGTGAAACCTTCCCTAACACTCTAATGTAAAAAGAATTGGGATCCTAATCGCTATAGTTGGTAATTAATTTTCCGTTTATAGGCAGCCAAGCTTGAATTAGGGTAGGAGTAGGTTCTTATGGAGCCATTCAGGTATAGCAGCTGTTAGACATAAGTCTAGCAGCTGCTCGTATGACTTTCATCTTTGAAAGAGTTGAATGAGTCTGTTAATTAAACGAATTGGGATTTTTTGAATATTACAATGTCATAAACAAATCCATATTAGCTGAAATTGATAATTTAAAATCCCTTCGTGGCAAGAGAGAAGAAGAATCGGTCTAGTCTTTATCCCAGACTGTGGGATGAAGACACCATGTCTCCCGAGTTCTATTCATTTTTTTCTATTTCTTGCTAGCACAGGTGATTCTCGCTTCTTTTAGAATTTATTTGCATAATGAAACCTTTCCTTTCTCAACTAGTTACATTGCTAAGTTAAATTTCAAATCAACTTGACTCTTCAAAAACGGAACTTTTCCTTTGCTCAAAGACAGTCTAACGTACTACACAAGACCGTCACATAAAAAAAACTAATTTCACAACTATAGTCGTTTATACACTCTGAACTGAAGAATGGGCAGGGGAGCAATGCAGATCAAATCAAGGGGGCAAAGGTTGCTACAATTGACTTGAAAGACGAAGCAGGCGAGACTATCCCGGTCCACAACCTCACGACTCCTCTCAGCCTGAAAATCCCTGTGACAAATGAGACCAGAAGCCTCGCTTCCGGTAAGTGCTGGAATACCCAATATTCAAGAGTTCCATCGAACCACACACCACAGCGTGGCACTGTCTGAAATATTCTTCTTTCAGCCTGCACTCAAGTGAATCCAGAGCAGGAGCTATCTGGACGAAGAATTCCGATCGTGTATCACTCGTTTTCTAAGCCAAAGAGTCATGGACTGATCATCCTGAAATTTATGCTGAATCCCGGAGATGTTCCCAGCACCAATTTCTTGATACTTCTCCGATCTGATGGTCTGCCTACTCCCGTCAAGGGAAAATTCGATGATTCCCCAGACTGCACTGGTGCCTTCCAATTGAACAAACTCACGCCCATAGGTCACTGTTTTGATTTTGCTCATGGAATCTAGTTTTCTATTCTTAGGAGCGATGCTTCTGGTTTTATAAATGAATGGGTATATATGGGCTTATAGGCTCCCAGGGGGAATACACATTCTCAGCCTGTGCAGTACCACAAGACGGGAGTGACAGTGTCGATCTCAAGACAGATATGCTGACTGTTGGCGTCATGATGCTTAAAGTTGGCGTCGACTTCACAGACATGCTCGATGACGCCACTTTTGACAACATGATTTCAAAGTATCTCCTTAACTTCACTACTCCCTACTGCCTGCAGATCATAAATACTGCCATGCTTTACTATGACGAGACGAAGAAGCAGTTCATCGACGCTGGAATCCAGGTATGTGTCTGCCTATATTGCATGTGCACAAATAATGAGCTTTAAAAGTATACATGATTGAATTTACAATTATCATAGATGACAAGTGCAAATTTGGAAGCGATATCGGCCAACGTGACGCACTTGACGACCTTCGGAGGCGGATTCTTTGTCATGCCTAATACCGTGGATTTCGCATATGTATTTTCACATGCTGGCTTTGACGACAACATCACCATCTACCTATTGCTTATTCTCACTGGTGTCATTTACCTAGCCCTTCTCGTTTGGGCTCGTTGGCAGGATGGGCTGGATGTTGCACTGGTGAGTCTCTTTTGTCAGATATATTAATTGCATATTAAAATGTAGTAATGCGAAAACCAATTTTCAAAGGATTAATCTTTCTTCAACCACAACCCCAGCCTTCCCCCCTTCTTTACGGAACTCACAGACGTTAGACCTTGGCCGAACCAACGGACTCTCTTCGGATCAGGCCTAGGCCTACCTTTTTCAATTCAAAAGAAACTCAATCCTCGACCTACGGACCAATTAGACCTATATATAAGGATTAATGTCTCATCATCGAGACAGTTGAGGACGTGTAACGTTAGACCTGCTATTGGCCTAACGTTACGTTAGTCTCTCATAGTCCGCTTACCACGTAAGCTCGGAACGGGTGACGATGTGCGCTTTGGAAAAGGCAGCCTCTATTACTTTAAATGGGAAGCCACACATATGCAGAAAGCTCTTTAGTTCCTCAAGGCGCAACAAAAATTGAAGTTTCAGAGCAGATATGACGTAGACGAATGGCGAGGATGTAAGGGAGAGAATTTTCATAGAGGGTGACGGTACGAGAAGTGAAGATATAGGTGAGAATCGGTAGGTTTGAAGAAGAGATCGGTCAAAAGCTTCCCCATAAGAAATGAATACCTTACAATCAAGGAAATTTTTCTGAGGTTTCAGAGTAGGTGTGGTTAAATTTGAGAAGAGGGTGTAAGGAATTGAGGAGGTTTATGAAAATAAGGAACTTTTCAAAACCACGTTGCCACAATAAGAAGCAGTCGTCAATGAAACAAATCCATTTAAAGGGCTTCAGGGTGCTGTTAGTCGAGGCTTCCTTTTAAAATTCACCCATAAAAAGACAAGCATAACTGCATCCACATTTGAACCCCACGACCGTTCCGTGAATTTGGAGATAATTGTTGCCGTTGAAGTGAAAGTTGTTCCGAGTTAAGCAGAGAGTAAGGAGATCTATAATGGCAGCAGTAGGTGTCTAAGGGGCAGATCCGTTTGTTCAAGAAATGAGTACAAGCTTTTATGCCATCATAAGGAATGGATGTATAAAGCGATTGAACGTCGATAGAGGCCGAAGCAAGGTTGCGTGGCAGTTTGTCAATATCAATGTGCTCCAGTTGGTAAGGAATAATCTATGAGTAGCCCCATGCTGAAAATTCGGTTAATTACGAAGACCAGCATTTCATGGATTTTTGTTTTGTATTCTTAGCTGAACTTTCAACTTCAACTAGGTCTTGATATTTCAAGGTTTTTGTCAATGTTGATCCAGGCCTAAAATGGGTCCTTAAAATAGGGCTAGGCCAAGCATCCCATTCCGCCTGGCCTGGTTTCATGTTGTAATGTTTCCTTGGAAAAAGTCAGTAAAAAAATTGCAAGGAAGTGTGCGCTAATGCTTATAGCTGACATGATAACAGACTCGCGGATGATGAGAACGACGAACACTTCTCAGTACAACTGAGAACAAATGTGAACTTCGATGCGAAGTCAAGTGTAGAAAACTGGTGCCATACGGTAGTCTCGAAGCAGTTATATAGTCTGTACAGAGAAGGCGCCAGTGCGCCATAAAAAACTGTCTGCTCGGAGTTGGATTACGGAGTAACGCAAAAGTTCTGTACACTAAAAAAAAGTTGTTTGTTGCAAGCAAACATTTTCCAGCATGTTTGGCTTGTTTTCTACATAAAACTAATGCTACGAGGGACTTAGTTTCATCAATATTTGTTGATCCCTTATTAGTTTCGTCATGTCATTGTCAAATTAAGATTGTCAGTCTGCAGCCATTAGTTTTCCTGAAGCCGGGAAGTCTCCCTCTGAGATCTTCCGGCTGCTCCAAAACAATGGCTCCAACCGGAACATCATGAAACGTACTATCAAGCAGTTCCTTGAGATAAACTCTACCGAGGGTCGTCATCGATTGGGTCAAGTAAAGTCAGTGTCAACCACGGCCAACATCAAAAGCGTTCGATTCCGACTTCGTCGCAATCCGAAGCAATCGCTGAGAAAAATTGTCCAAATGACGAAGGTAAACCTTGAATCGCTCTGGCAAATGGTCAAGAACAAGCTGAATCTACTGCTTTTGAAGCTGCATGAAACTCAATTTCTCACGGAACAAGCGAAGAAGACTAGGCTGCGACGATCGCAGTCGCTGCTTTGTCAGTTCGCAGATGGCAGCCATCGCAATATCCTCTTTTCCGATGTAAAGCTCTTCACAATCGAGAGAACACTTGACTCTCAAAATGACCGAGTGTGGACAGCAGAATCGTTAGGCATCTCTCCAGACGTCCGTCGTGTTACTCATACTCAGATGCCAGCTTCTGTGATGGTGTGAGCAAGAATCACTGCAGAAGGGAGCACACCGCTGGTTTTCGCGTCTTCCAGCACAAATATCAACGCGACTGTCTACCGTGACCTCATCCTGGAAGGCACAGTAAATCTCTGTGCCAAACAGCACTTTAGGAACAAGGAATGGACTTTTCAACAGGACTCTGCGCCAGCCCACAAGGCAACGATCATTTAGGCCTTCTGCAAAGAACAATTTCTTGACTTCATCACCTAGGCAGAATGGCCTCTGTATATTCCCGACTCGAACTCGTTCGACTTTTCTTTGTGGAGCATCTTGGAGAACAAAGTCTGTGTTACTCCACTTGCATCGGTCGAGTCTCTGAAGTCCTGTTCTTCAAACAGAATGGCCGAAGATCTCCTTAGAATCCCTGGGTGCCGCAGTCGATACGTTTCCAAAAAGACTTTCGCGATTGTGTGAAAGCAAAAAATTACGATTTTCAGTGATTTCGCTGGTATTATATATTGAAATAGTTGCAGTTTCTAATTTCTAATTCAAATTTGTGAACTATTTAAAGAAGTTATAAAATGTTGAGAAAACTGAGTGTACAGAACTTTTGTGTCACCCTGTAAATGTCAGCATTTTCTTAATATAAAAACTAATTCTAGCGGAGGAGGTCAAAGGGTGTACGTCGGAATGTCGAAAGCAGAAACGCAGAAAGGAAGTAATGACGAAGGGCAAATATATAGATGTCATGAAATGTCGCTTTTGCTTAATGTCGAATGCAATCGAGGCAGAATCTGATACTGTCATTTATACCTTTTCTACTGTTTAAACCTGGAAAGGTTAAAACCTGAACTGTGGTAACATCCGATCCATAAGAAGAACTACCTAATTGGGGATAAATATGCAGCCTCAAAAAGGATATATTCATTCCTATTCTTGTTTATATTATTTATATTTATTACAGCCCCTTCGAATTATTGAGTAATAAATCCTTCAGATTGAAAATGATACAAAATAATAATTTAGAGGATGTTCGATAAGCACTTAAATAACTCTTTTGATATAGTATTGCAACCATTTTACATGCAATCTTTTTTCTGTTTAGCCCACAACATATATATACCTTAAACCCCTTTACGCTAATAGTGTAAAGGTTCGTCCACACCAGGAAAGTTTTCTTGCATAGACAATGAAAGAATATTGCAAAAGATAACTTTGAATTAAAAATTTCAGATATTGCCCACACCAGAAAGATCCCTATGTAAGTTTTCCTTGCAAGTCGACTTGCAGAGAAAATTTTCACATAAAACATTATGGTGTGGACCTTAGGCCAGGGTCGTTGGAAGGGGCGCCTGGGTGAAATAATTGCTACTGTATTAAATAAATGATAGGAAGAAAGGGAAAATGGTCTATTTGAAACATTTCCCGAAAAATGAAATAATTGGTCTTTTACGCAGGGATCCTATTCTCATTCGATGAAGAAAGTCGTTCGAGGGTTTTATGATTCAGAAACTGGCTCATTTTTAGAGTAGGTCATTAGTCCCATGTGGTTTAAAGCATGTGCACGTGTATGATCAATGACAGTTCAACAACCTGATACTCATGGTCCACCTTGTACATGTACTACTTCCCTCGCTTTTAAAAGAGACATATGTGAAGAGTGGGGTCTTCCACCCTTTTCACCTCCTTGGCCTACCGGGAAGAACTCTTTGTTTCCCTAAAAACGCACATAACTTTTACGGTGATTAAAAGGGAAGCCCATTATGAGAAAAGAGGGAAAGGAGGAAATATACTGTGTACTCCTCCTGAGGCTTTAAAAAAAAATTGCGAGAATCTTATCCTTTTCTACTCTAATATTTTCCACACCTTTCTCTTCCCTTCATAAAGGTGTGTTGTGATGAAGAGGAATAATGTTAATTATTTCACAACCCACATGGAATTATCTATCTTCTGATATACTGTTAATCATGATATGACATGTTAAAGAAAATGGTTTTGAGTTTTATAACTTAANACGCTAATTCTAACCATGTTCTAGAAGGATTAGAAATCTGAAACTTGGTACACATGTACCTTTTGGGATGCAGAGTTCAGAAAAAATCCCACTTAGCAGGTACATGCCCTGGGTGTACACATTTTAAGGGGAAACTTTTTTCTTAAATATATCTTGTGACAGATGAGGATGGCATTCAAAAGATCACATGGATGTTCTGGGTTCGGTGGTGTAGTAGTAGCATATCTGACTGGTAATCAGGGGGTCCGGGTTCAATTCCCGGCCATACTGTGGCTTTCTTTTGGCCTTTTTTGCCTTCCATGTCCCAGAACTCAGTCCCCCTCCATAACATTATCTTTGCTTGAGTAAAACGGAGAGACATGGAAAGCTGAAATCTGGCATGGAGGTGCCTACCGAGACGATGAGTTCAGGAAAAGTGCAAAATGTAAGATCCATGCCCAGAGGGATATTTTTTGGGGCCGACGTTTTCAATTATTTTTTTTTGTCTTGGCAGATTCTTGGCGGATTGAGCTAGTGTGGAAAGATGAAACTTGGTACATAACTAACTATTGGGATGCTGCAGAAAACTAAAGAAGACTTTAGAAGTAAATGTCCTGGGGGCACAAATTTCAAAGGGAGATGTTTACAACTGATTTTTTTTGCATCAGTTAAACTGATGAACATGGAAAGCTGAATCTTTTCATGAATGTGACAATTGAGACAAAGAGTTAAATAAAAATGTTAAGTCTTGATACATCCCCTGGGGGAATTTTTGTAGAGGCAATGTTTTGAAGAAAAAACAATTGTCGTGGCGAATTGGACAGAAATGGAAAGGTGAAACTTGGCACACGTATCAGTGACATGATATTACTGAGCTGAGAGAGTATTCAGCTTTCATGGGGCACCACCTCCGGGCATAGCTTTTAGGTGAATCGGCTTTTCGAATCATGTTTTTTCACCAGCGAAAAGAACGAACGTATAATATTGAAATTTTGTGGGCATAAAGTTCACCGGGCAGACATAGAAAAGTAGCTGGCGCACGCATCACTGACGTGATGTTGATTTAAGGATAAATTAAATTTTTTTATACGTCTCCTCAGAGCACAGCTTTTGGGTGGGTCGCTTTTCCAAATACATTTTTTCCTTTAGCAAAAAAGGGAAACTGGGTGGCATGGAGTTCCCTGAGTCTACATTTCAAAATAAAAAAATTTAGTGAAAACCCATTATGCCACTTTTTTCAGTCACATTTTCAAGATTTTTTTTTGATCCAACGTAACAGAGACAGAAAATTTAAACTTCCCTTAGAAGTACCTGTTTAATGGCTGAGTAGAGGAAAAATCCTAATTTTGAAATATGTCTCCTTAAAGTAGATTACTGGGGGGGGGAGTATTTCAAAATGTATTTTCCACCTTTCCAAAAAGGGACACAAGAAAAGATTTCAAGTTAGGCACACATAGAATCATAGAGGTAATGATTTTGATTTAAAAAAAGAAGACTTTCGACCCCATATGTCACGTATTTCAATGCACGTACTTAAAATACTTGTTTCCCATCTCGCAAAAAATGAATGAATTAATAACTATCCAAGGTAATAGAGCACCGAAGGCGCGACCACAGTATAACAGTATGTTAATCATGATATAGCATGTTAACGAAAATGGTTTTGAGTTTTATAACTTAATTTTTGATGTAATTACTGATCATCCCATAAGGAAACAGGCAAAAATACAGTACTTAATATTATCAATAATTAATTTCTAAGTAAGAATAGTGCTATGTTGTCACTAGGAGGATGGGACAACTCTGTAACCGACTGGGACAAACACATAAAACGAAACCCATAAAGATAATTAGAAAGTCACACCATCATGATGACTTTAAATTACGTCGAGGCCAACACAGAAAATGTAGCCAATGGGACAAAAGGGGGCCAAGTCGTATATCCAATCCGAATCCCGGATTTTTGAGGAAGGTAGCCTGGCTCCTCCCAGAGGATATTACCGAGGATATTAGCAAGAGACTTGGACGCTGGAGTCAGTCGCTATTTGGAAGGCACCATTGTGACCTTACCATACCCGGTAATATTCAGAAATTCATATTGTAATTCTAAATGAGTACATGTTAAAAATCTAAGTTCACGTTTCGTTACGTCGCACTGTGGTTTGGAAAGATCTTCCTTAAAGATGCAAGCACAATGGTTCCCCTTTGATGGGTTCCAACCATGAGCAATAAAAGCAAGAACGAAATTAGGAAGCGAAAATTGCTTGATTGGAAAGGAGTGTCGATTTCTAAAGGTTGGAGCTTTGCCGTTGGCGGACAATGATCCACGATGCAAATATGTCTATGAAGTCCTTGTGTGTACTGGCGACAAGACATGTGCTGCCACTGATTCCGTCGTTTCTGTAAGTTTTCATAGGAATGAGTTTGCTTACGGGAGAGTTATGGCTCATGAACCAATTGTCATTAACTTTTAATGCCAGTTCATCCTGGCTGGAGAGCAAGGAGAGAGCGAGGTGAGGACTTTCGGTAGACCAAATCGTCCAATATTCCGCAAGGGAGCAGTGGATGCCTTTGTCATGACCACTCCTCGGTATGAACTTTTTGTTCTTCATCATAATAATAACCGATTTTCAAATACGTCCGTATCAATTGCACGATCTTGAAATTCTGCCTTCCTCGTAGACCTCTAGGTCCTCTGAACTACATGCGAATTTGGCACGACAATTCTGGAACTGGAAGTCGTCAATCCTGGTTCCTGAATGTTGTCATCGTCAAGGATATTCAAACGGGAGAGAAGTATGAGTTCGTTGCCAACAGATGGTTTGCAGTTGAGGAGGATGATGGTCAAGTGAGTAATATGGAAGTCATACGAAGTAATTTGTAATCTCTGAAAGTACTTCATAAGTTTGCTGTTCGATTGGAGAAATAGTTATAAAGGAATGCAGGCTAGCATAATTTTTTTCTGGAAAGTTTTCCCACAAAAGCGTTCTTTTCGACATATGCAGAATGTGTATAAATCAAGGCTTCAGAAAGTATCCCAGAGAGGGAAAGTTTCCCAGAGAGGGAAAAATGTATTGAAGAGGAAGAATTATTAAACTTTAACTTCCAATGGCAGTCGAAGGAAAAACTAAAACAAAAGGAATTGATCTTCTCGAGAGAAAGAAATAATTTTGTGTTCTTCAGTTTCAACAGTTTTGACCTGTTTGCAATAGACAGTATCAATACGTCACCCAACAGTTCTTCGCATTTATTTCGTTGTTCTCTTCGTGCTTCTCGCAGGAAAATAGCTTGAATTATGATTGTATATATCCAATTATGAAGGTCTACAATGACTTAATATGATATCTGAAGTCTTTTTCATGAATCCCATGCACTGTTTTTCCGTAAATCTTCTTTATATTTTCATGGGAAATAGTGGAAGTTGTAAAATGAGCAACTTAGATCTTGCCACGATGTACCGTTTGCACGTGAAAGTGGGAACTTTTATCTAATCCTCTTTGTTAATGTGTGGCAGGTTCTCCATAGGTTAGTTATTATGCATGTATACTCTTTTGAACATATATATTCATGGGCATAATTGTTTCTATCGAATGATGAACCCATGGACGTCTGCTAACAATGCCTCCCTATTTTAGGTGGATCGACTTTTGCCAGTGGCAGGACTGGAGGAAAAGAAAGACCCGAAATTCTTGTTCAACACGCATTCTCAACGGAACCTGTACGACGAGCACCTGTGGTTCTCAGTTTTCATGAGGCCTCCACGAAGCCGTTTCACTCGAGTTCAACGTGTTTCCTGCTGCATGGCATTCCTCTATCTGTCTATGTTGACCAATGCCATGTGGTATGGCACCGTGCCACAGCATCCCACCAGCAACGCCCTTCGCTTTGGACCTTTCATCTTATCTACGGCGCAGGTTTGAGCCGCTTTGTCACAAACATGGACAGAAGTAAATGAGATTTTAGGGTAGGAATGTGCCATGCCCTGCTTCGGGAGCGCTAATGGCTTTCATATTCCATATTGATGTACCACTCATCATCAACATTGTGCAGAGTCCTAGAAAGTCTCTATCGCCTATGGATTTTTAACAGTGGAATGAGCGCAACATGATATCGGTTGGTTGATATAAAAATCGCATAGAATTCTTATTAGAATCCCATAGAGTTCCTTTAGGATCCTATAGGATTCTCATAGGATCCTATAGGAATCCTATAAAAATCCTATAAGAATCTTATGAGAATCCTATAGGAATTCTGAGATTTTTATTCTTTAAAAAATCTTATAGGATACTATAAGATCTTTTCGTGAGGGCGTCATCTTATCTAAGCGTCCAGTCCAAAGATAACCATGTACATTGGGATAATATGCCCACACTCTTTTACAGATTGGCGTGGGGATGATGTCAAATCTCATCGTCTTTCCTGCCTCGTTCCTCATTGTCTTTCTATTCAGAAAGGCCAGACCAAGGAAACTGAGGCCATCCAGGATCGATGAGGCTCTTGATGGAGACGGTGAAATATTGAATTTAAAATTCCTTTCTCGCATTAATCATGTTATCCAGATGATGCTTCGGTCATAAGTATCAAGAACTTGATATTTCTCGCCTCCCATTAGCACTTCGCCATCCCCTTATTGTATGGACTTGAACAAGGGAATCTATTTCTGAATTTTCAGGTCGCCCCCAATACGTCAGTTCGGAAGCAGTCGAACAATCCAAGTGAGTCTTTACATACTGTAAAGGAACTAAAAGGAAAACCTCAAGTTTATGAACAGCTTTCATAGCACTTCTCAATGTATTGTTCCCTTGTTCGTGCACTTGTGCAGTTGTTTTATCCAATAACTTCGTACACTTTTAAGGTTACGCATGATTTCTGAAAATGCTTAGGAGATATGCCCTTAAGATGTAAGCAAAACACGTAAAAGTGTAAAGTCTATGTTTCCAGACTTAAGATTCACCATGTATTTTAAACAACATTACAAAACTCTGTAAAAAAAAAGAAGTAAATCTTGTGACATTCATAACGAAGTCCTCATTGAAATGCAAATGCTCGAACTTCACTGTTGATTCTTTTCATAAGAGTTTTCTTTATTTTAGAGTTTTTTTTGGAAATCCTGTTAATTGTAGCGTTTGAGAGACATCCAGAAAGTTCGTAGGCATAGCATATTTAGCTATCAACAGTCATGAAAGAGATCGTGATAAAAAAGATCATGATAGCCTCTAAAAGTATGCTTCTTGAGCACCTTTGAAACTTTTCATCCCTGTCGACTATTGCTAGAAGCAAATATGCTATATCTCAAGAGAGAACTCTCGTTTGCATCAATGAAGAAGGTTGGGCCTTCATCATATCATATTATCGACTCATCAACTGCTCATTGATGATCAGAAATAAATAAAGGTCTCAGGGGGCACGATCTGGGTTACGAGGGGATTCTGCTGATCTGGAGAAAACGTGGAGCAACGCATTATAGTTTTGTACAGGTATATGGGTCCCTGCGTTCCATCATTGGTTCCTGGTCTGGATCTCCTTGATTTCGAGGAGGTTCATTTTGCAGTTCTACTTGGCATCGACAGTCCTCTTTACTTCCTTAAACTTTACCAGATGTATGGTAGCTCCGAAGGGAGGGGCATATATTTTTTTTATCATCCTGTGCACACTCTTGGCTTCATCTGACTTTGGAAAGCCCAAGCTGTTTCTTTGTTTCATGACCGAATGATATATCCATGATGCACCATGAGCAATAGTGCTGCAGTCAGCAAGATCGACCTTCGTCGAATGTTTGCACCATAGACTTTTACAAATTAACCTGATCTAGCTTTTGGGCCCCAAAAGAGCGGTGAAGCACCCAACAAATGTCAATATACTTGGCTTACAGCTCTAGGAAGACGATAACGTTCACGATTCCTTTTTCAATGTTCAGTGTCTGCTGGTTAACTACGTAATGAGGATTTAGATATTCCTCAAGCATTTATCAAATGCAGTCCACCGAGTCGGGGTCATCGAAATTTGTCGGCCTAAGAGAGGTGTTTCTGTGGAATTCACTCGTCCCCGACGGAATTCATTAAACCGAGGTTGAGGTTAACTGGGCCTGAATGATTGAACCGATATTGGCTGGTGACACCTGTGACGTTAAACATGACTCATCTTCACCTTCCTTTTAAGCATTGGATCTACTTCGAGGTCTGCTTGGTTAGCTTATGTTCACAAACTCTGGGTAACCTCCCAAAGTGTGACGATGTATGGCAAGTGAATGAAATTGCAAGGGATTTAACGATACATTTTAGGAAGTTGCAGAGGAAGAGGAGATTCTCTTTGCCATGGTGGTTTGTAATTCTGGCCTGGTTGCTAATCATCATCTGTATCGGAGTCAGCATCTTTTTTGTCTGGGCCTACGGAATCCAATTCGGGAATGAGAAAACGTGCCAATGGACCACATCTCTTGTCACTTCTTTCTTCTCTTCCATCCTCATCGCCGAACCCATCAAGGTCTGTCTTCCTTTCACCTGTTACAGTGCGCGTCAAAAGTAACGTACCGGGGTTTTCTCTTATTCAACGAGAGACATCAGAGAACCTTTTATTTCATCAAGAAGCACATATCGAGCCCTGATCTCATTACAAGGTAAAATTGCCTTTCGCTTCGAGTACAGCACGTAATCGGCCTGGAATGGAGTTCACCAATTTTTTTGCTGACTTCGCTTCGACTCGTCCATACCTCCTTGATTACTGCTCGTAAACTACAGATTATTCTGGGGTGCCGATACGCTGCATTGGCCTTCAAGAGTGCCTACACATTTTATGTGGGGTTGAGGTCGAGAGACTGCGATGGATATTCCAAACGGACACCCCATTCTCGACCCTCCGGTTTGTCGGAGGCTTTGAGGTGTGCTTCGGATCATTGTCCTGCAGCACCCAGGACTTCCTTGACTCAGGAAGCATGGTAGCTGCAGATGGCAAGAGGCCACGCTCATAAATGGTATTCAGCAGATGGACATCCAGGTTCTGAGTGAAAGCGGAGATATGCTCAAACCCTCCAGCAGAAAAGCAGCGCCAGACACGCATCTCACCTGGGTGTTAGGCAGTTCGAGCCATCACGCTTTTCCCTCCACCATTCCTGTCTCTCGATATCTTTTAAGCAAACCGGCCTTCGCTGGCTTTGAGATCCTTTTATACTTCGCGATGGCGGCAGAAGAGAGCTTCGGACCCATGGGAAGAGCGGCATGAAATCAATCTCGTAGCGATCCATCAATGAAAGTGGCATTTTTCATCAAGCCGAAATAAAAAAACTGCGTAACTGGTATGCAACACACTATAGTCCCCCCTTTTCTTTAGGTGGATCAGCACTCACGAGCAGCTGTCCTATGCAAAACCTTTGAGCCGCATAGGTTCCATATTTATCGAAAAAACCCTGGTACGTTTATTTTGACGACCACTGTAGTTTCCTTACAGAATATACCACTGACAAGCAGGGTCTATTGGGAGAGTAGCAATACTCTTTGTGAAAACATTGATTGGTCAGGAGGAAATTTTTTTGCAATGCTTTTTGTGCTTTAGTATTGTCATTTTCATTATTACTCTTGCAGAGCCCCAACGTCTGAAGTGGCGAATTCAAATTGTAAGAATTTACGTGACGATACCCATGCCAATTTCCATTCGTTAAAGGCGCATTGCTTGTTGCTCATGGGTCCCTTCACGTCTGGTAGCATCCGTTATTGGTCATCGTTGCGCAGGAACTCGAATGAAGTACACAGGAAAGTAGAAATGTTCAAGGAGAGGTACAAATGTGAGACGTATATATGTTTGTGTTTGTCGGGTCCTCATTCGTATGTACCTTTATACGCATGGGGTCAAGACGTTCATATTGGTACGTTGTAGACGCAGTTGTCCGGGTTTCCCAATACAGTACTCAAATGTACATAAGGTGGCGGTTATTTTCCCACGAACATCCAAACTCAAGTCAGAACGCACCGGACCTTAGGAGACGAGTTTTCTTCCTTTACCTGTGCTCTTGTCATCATGATAATTGTAAACTAAAACTTGCTAAAGTTTAAATAACGGGTTTCAATGACGATCAAAGAATCGGGAAAATTTTAAATGCTGGGCTTTTGTGCGAGGACAGAGAAGTGCAAACTGACACCTTAGGCTTTTACTCTCAATAAGATTGTAAGATTGTCTTTATAGTGGCCTGGACTTGTAAGGTACTGTAAGTGAGACTGCAAGCATGTCCTGTATCGTCATGGAGACATTGCAGAGTTATCGCTATCTCCATTACCTTGATATAAGGCAAAGGGGAAGAACATACTAGATGCCGTGACTTTTGGTGTTGTAAGTGCTACTGTGTCTCCTGCCCTGTTGGCGAGAGCTATTGTCGGCCAGACTGCGGCCTGCGATATGTGAGTAAATATCGCAAGTGGCCCCCACAGTCTTTAGAGTTGTGCACCCTTGGTGTAAGGAGATCGTCCTTATCTGTGACTTTTCTTTGACTGTCAGAGACGTGGTGCCGCATGATGCGATACACACTCGGTGTCACTAAAACTCACTTCAGAGCTCCTCAAAGCAGAAAATTTAGGTCCATATGCAAACTTTCCAAACCCCCTTAAGCCCGAAACAATGTCCGCATGGGATTCTTAAAAAAAAGTCCCTATCCTTTTTGAATGGAGATAAGTGTAAACATGTGTACCTTATTTTGCGTATTTTACGACATACGTTTGTACTTCACTGTACGTTTCTGCATTGCAGTGTTCAGGTATACAGGAATTGCTTATTGCTTTATGTGCAGATCCAGTTTTGCCAGTTAGCAATTTATCCTCGCGCCAAGAGAGGCTTATCTCCGAGGTTTGCGTGTATCAAGCACGGTCCAAGTGCATCCGTCCACACATGCATCCATGGGCCATGGGTGGGATTTGCATGGGCTGTAGCGGAAATGTCCGCGTTATCTGTGGCACCCTCATCGGTGGACCAAATGTGGCTTATGCGTGGGGCACGCTATTGGACAAAATAACCTGGCTGGTCTGTCAGCACGTGGCGTATGCGTGGGACACTCCATGAATGTCCGCTTTTTCTGCGGCAACCTGCTACAATACATTTCTATCTGCAGTACTACCCAAGTAACACAAGATATTCCAGCAACGTTTAGGAAATGTTGATGAACAATGTTGCATTTATGTGTAAATGTCCAAAACGACAACGTTGCTCAAATGTTGCGAAGGAACATTGCATTGACGTTGCAAATCGTAATTTCTATCTGCAGTACTACCCAAGTAACACAAGATATTCAAGCAACGTTTAGGAAATGTTGATGAACAATGTTGCATTTATGTGTAAATGTCCAAAACGACAACGTTGCTCAAATGTTGCGAAGGAACATTGCATTGACGTTGCAAATCGTTACTTATTCATTATATTTGCGTTGCAGAACCGTTTCAGGATTTATGTTGCTGCAATGTTAATTGGAATGTTGATTGGAAATGTTGTAATAAACATTCGTAGAAGTGTCGCAGCAACATTCCAAGTGAAAAGTTGAAGCAATGTTTTATCGATGTTGTACATCAACTTGCAACATAAAGCAACACAGGCAACAGTTCGGAAACGTCTCAGCAACATACTGTGTTACTTAGGTAGTACCACTGGTACTGGCATAACCCCCTGCCCAAGCATGAGTCTGAACCATGGATAGGCAGGAGGCATATGATAATACAGGACTTGATATACCCCAGGAACATACTGATTATAGTAAGTTTCAGGGATGGTCCATCCTAAAGACCTTATACTAAGAAGACTGAGCCCTCTGTGGCGGCGCCTTTGATGTCCGGGAAACATTCTGCACTGGTGGTTGGCACCGGAACTACGCCGAATTGACCAATGGGATCATTGGATTGGAATGTCGCATGAAATATGGCTGCTTCAGAATCCAAATATTACCAAGCCAGGAGAAATTGGACAAAATGGATCGAAATGTTCCGTTGCATCAGTTTTCAAAGGATTAGGAAAGGCACGCGCATGTGTTCACCTAGGAATTTGCTCTAGGCCTATGGTCATGGCTTTACATACAGGGTGAGTCAAAAGTCACTGAAAGACTTTGAACAGCTATGACTCGGCAAGGAAGGCATTAATTGGCAAACGGTTGTTGCATAGGGAAAAGCGTACAATAACTAGCAA